AATTTCCCAGCTATCACTGCTGGATGTTGCACTGCAACAAACTGTGCCAACAGCCCGGGTTCGACAGCACACAGGACTCTCATTCAACACCCGCCTGACCTGGCCGTGCCCTCTGAAGTACGTGCCAGCTGGGTATCTCTTTACGCCAGGGCTGTTTTTGGTGGGCAGTGCTGCCAAGGCAGTATGAAAAGGGCTTTGTCGGAAGGGACATGTGAGCCTGGTTCTTCATTGTCAAACACCCGTATAGATATTTCCACCCTAAAACATGGGTGTCACATAATGCAGTTTGCACTTGCCTCCTTAAGGTAAATGGCAACTAAACCAGCGTCTTCTTTTTCTTTTCTTTCTGTCCCAGGGAGATAAAGGCATGACTACCATTTTATTCCTGTTTTGGTCATTGGTACCTGTGCTAAATAAGTTGGAATATTTCATTTGCTTCACTGGTAGTAATTTTCTCTCCCGTTTCCCAGGTTTGAGTGGCTTTACAAGGTGCACAGGGGGCAGTGAAGAATCAAGCCCTGTGCTCACACAGCCTGTCAGATTCTCCTTGTCTTTCCACTCACCGGTGAAGGTGTACCAAAGCCAGCCGGAGCTGGCTACATCAGTGATATGCAATCTCACAGCCCAGCCAAGTGCAAATAACCCGTTTGTGTCGCTCGCTGTTGAGAGGTTCCTGAGGATTATTCTCTGTATCCTGAAAAGAAGAAGCGAAACCTAATGACCTGGGAAAGTGCGTGGTGTGGAGGAAGGAGGTCCCTGCCAGGTGGAGGTGGCTGCAGCCAGGCCCTGGGGGGTTTGGAGAAATCTGTCAAAGGCAGCTTCCCTTCCTCAATCCAGCCAAGGTGAAGATCACTCTTCTGAGCAAAGTGACGTTCCACCAGCGTTTGGCTGCTACTGGGTTTCATTTTGCTGTTTTTTCCACCCATTTTAAAACTGAAACATCATGTCCAACAGAAATTTAGCCTGCGTGAAATGCAAACCTGAAAATGGGAAGGGGAGCCCTGCCATGGTGGAGTGTAACACTGCTGCAGAGCACCGAGTGTCTGCATGATGCTTGCTTTTCCCTGATGGTACCCTCCGGGCTTGGGAAGGAGGAAAGAATTAATGGGACCAAGGAAACAGGAGAGGAATAATGTATAAGATCTTCAGGTTCCCCAGCAGCATTTGGGGTATATACTGCATCACTCCTGATCTAGCAAGGATCGGTGCCTTCAATAGGGAGGTCATGTGGGGAACACACGAACCCTGATCACGCCACCAGGCTCTGTAGCATCATTTGCACAGACGGAGATCTCTGTGCCTTCCCTTCCCGGGGGACCCCACGGATTTGCACATATAAGGTAAAGGAGAGTTACCTATCCCCGTGTCTCAGAAGGGTGGATTTTGTTGTGAGGGAGTCACAAGAGCACAAACATAAGCTGGTAATAACAGAATCACAGGACTTGGAGATAAAAGGCTACCTCAAGGCAGGATCATCGACGTAACTGCACGTACATCATTCCTGACAGGCACTCACTCTTGCCTGTAGTCAAAAATCACAACCTATGAAGACTGACGTTTTCCTAAATGATCTGTGCCATATCTCTACTGTTCCTTACTATTAGAAAGCCTGTAACAAATGTCTAACCTGAATTTTCCTTGCTACAATTTAAGCTCATTGCTCGTCATATCCACCATGGAAATCTGGGCAGGGCAGTTCTCTCCTATTCTCTTTTTATCAGCCTCTTTCTGTTTCTGGAGCGTTACCGTGCTTCTCTTCAGTCTCTTCTTCCTCAGACCAAATGTCAGTTTATTCAGTCTTACATCATAAATCATGTTTTCACAAAGTGGGACATATTTTTTACTTCATTTTTCCTATTTCTCCTTCATCTCTTTTTCCTCATCTTCTCTCTACCTGATACTTTATCTGCCTCCAACCCTTTACCATAACCTGATCCTATCCTTAATTATTTTCTCCTCTATCAGTTTCACAACTTTGTAACAGGGCTTGTTCCGGAATTTGGGTTTCTTCTCATTCTGTTTTGCCCTCCTGCTTTTGCAAAGGATGATCTTAAGTATTGAAACATTGTCTGTCTCCTTGGTTAGCGGAGAAGCGCGGACTGAGCACAACTTTACCAGTCAGGGGCTCCTAAGCTGTAGCTCTGGTTTAGCAGCGGCTTGTCTTCAGTACAGGCACAGGCAAGGCAGCCGACCTTGCCTTCGCTATGAGCTTCTTGAGGGCTTGCGTGATTTTTAAAATTACGGTAGTTTATTGCAAGAAACAGAAAAAAAACTAGCACTAGTCTGAAAATTTGAGTTAGTTTTGGGTAAGTGTCAAGGTCTCCTAAGCAGCTCACATTTTTCTGGTTACAGGCAGTCTTTAACATCACTTTAAAGAACCACTCCAGAAATGGAAAGTTTATGCATACTTAGTGCTCACAGGCTTCAGGGCTGTCATAAGGCTGAGGGATATAAAGATGAAAAAGGTGTTGTTATGTGTCTCACATCCACAAACCAGTATTGTCAGTCTTAATACTTAAGAGTCCTTCTGAGCTGAGGGCTGTCATAAGCTGTTGGGTTTTCTGTTTGTGGGGTTTTTAATGTCTTCATGCCAAAAGGAGCTCATGGGTATATTGCCCAGTATTGGGCCTAAACACACACTATGTATTCTGAACCCGTGTGCTGGATTCTCCAGACACAGCTACACGTTTGAAAGGCAAAGTTAATGATTTTAAGTCAATGTAGGGACCTTTATTTATGTAACTGATTGCAAGATAATGAATTCTTACGAAAAATTTCCTTTTGTTCATTAAAAAAATACTGTGTAAGAAAACTCCGGGTCTGGATATTGTTCTGTTCAGTGCAAAGGACAGATTGTTGGCATTCCTGGGTAATTCTGCTCTCTGGCAAAGGAGGGCTTCTTATCAAGTGCTCTGATGTACAAGTGCCTGAGGCCTTGTTCACATGGGAAAATTCAGTGGCATTATTCGTACCTTTCCACTGCAGAATATGAGTACCCACATAGGAATTCAACAAGAATATAGTTATTTTGCTCTAGAAAAGCCCTAAGTACCTTCATGAAATTTCTGCCCAGAAAGTTATCTATGGCACAGGTAATGCAACACACCAGAGAAAATGCGTTTGGGGACATCAGAAAGGACTGCTTTGTACAAAAGCAACTCTTCACTCGTGTGACAATACTTTTCCCTGTTTGAGATTGTTTTTTCACACAGAGCACTCTGTCCCTACTTTAAAAAAACCTCATTCTACAGAGAAATTAAAACAAACACCATGCACATACTTATCCACACCCACCCACCCAATATTTTAATTATTGATATTAGTTTTACTACACTTTTCTTCTGTAAATGCATCTTCACTCTGAGCACCGCACTCAGATGCTATCTGAGCAGTGACTACAGCTCTTGGTAAGCAAACGATGTGCTGAATGCTGATGGAGAGGGCTAGCGCTAGCTCAGGAAAATAAGCAAGAACAGAATCCAGGTAATGTAAAACAATTTCACACTGGAAAGGTTATTAACAGGACGTGCCGCACCTGCAGCCATGAATTTCATTTGCATAGGAGAAAACCAATCTCTGTGCTGTAAATGTAATACAATGGGTAGGAGCGATGGAAGAGAGAGAAAACACAGACTGCCTCATACACGGTGTGACTTAGCAGTGGCTCCGATGTGGCCTTTGCAGTTCTGCCTTTTGTGTCTACTCTGCCCTTTGCAGTTCTTGCTGAGTGACCCGAAGCAGGTGGTATAACTCAGAAAGAGATTTCAGAGTCCTCTGGTGCCCAGCAGCATCCACGTGCCCCGGCTCAGCACACTCCTGCACAGCCTTCTGCAGCTGCAGCTGCAGCGGGAGGGAAACCAACGGTCCTCTGAGATTTGGGGAAAACCAGCGACGGAATATTTTGTCACAAATTACCTGAGGAAAGGGAAAAGAACAGATTGTTGTCTTGCAGGAGCTACAACTAATGTCCTGCTGCTTCTCTAGGACTGTGGCAAAATGTCATCCGAATCCAAAATGCCTCCCGCCATTCAAAGAGGAAGGTATAGAAAAGGAGCATCCACAAAGGCTACGCTCTAGCTGAGGACCCACTTCTTCTGAGGAAAGGGAAAAGAACAGATTGTTGTCTTGCAGGAGCTACAACTAATGTCCTGCTGCTTCTCTAGGACTGTGGCAAAATGTCATCCGAATCCAAAATGCCTCCCGCCATTCAAAGAGGAAGGTATAGAAAAGGAGCATCCACAAAGGCTACGCTCTAGCTGAGGAATCCCACTTCTTCTCAGACTGCTCTTGCACTTCTGCATAACAGGTGGTGAGGGCGAGGGGGTGCGAGAAGCAGGCAAAAGGCCGCCAAGCTACAGTCCCCCAGCCTCTCTGCTGCGCTAGTGCCTCCCACCGGCACAAGCTGGGTGAGCTACAAGACACCTCATCCCAGGGCCAAGAACCCCACGGACTCCCCTCTCCACTACATCCGCGCACTACGTCTGTAGAGTGGAGAATCGCAGCCGTAGCCGCCCCACTGCTTACACGTGGACAGCCCCGACTTTACCATTAGTGGAGACAGTAATGCCAATCCCCTGCCCCTACTTCCTTCGCTCTCCTATCTGAGGCATTGGGCTAACAGCTACACAAAAACACGGCAAAAAAAGCCACTAGTGAATATAAAGATCTGTTTGCGTGCCCCAAGATGGGATTTCTGAACAGGACTAGCACTTATGTGGCCATGTTTAAAAACCTGACTGTCTTCATCTCACAGTCTCCTAGCACATACCATGCATTTTGTAGTCAATGTGATTTTAAAAGAAATGGATGCATAAAGCAGCTGTATCTACTCACTTGCAAGTTGTTATTGGCTCTCTGTGCTCCGCATTTTCTGATTTTCAGATTGCATTTTGAAAAGCAATCAAAAAAATTACAATCTTCGTCTCCTGTGCAGTTCTGTTCAAGGATGTCCCTCATTTTGGGTTCAAAAAAGGCCATATCCACATCAATGGCCACCACCTGTGGATCAAAACAAGCCATCAGATGTGGCACAGCACAGCCTGTGGGACAAGGCTGAGCAAGTGTTCTTTGATGCTTGACTTTTGGAAATGCTGTGCTGAGAGCATCTGCCAGTGGAGAACTGGGATCACAGTGAAAGGACTTTATTTTGGTTAACTGAGCTGCGCTAGTCTTATAAATACCACTTTTTAAACAAAACCAGCCAATGCTTACGACACCAGGAAAGGGAAAATTATTTGTGGACAATATGCATCCCTGGGGACAACTGGATTGATTTGCCTTAAACCAGAACTATATCCAACTTGAAGATTGATTTACTTGTTGTTGCACCTTATGCAGATGGCAACTCAATCTCTTAATTACGTGACGGTGCAAAATTACCCACAGGCCAGACGGTATCATTTCACAATTCACCGTTCAGACTAAACCCCTGACTTTATCATTGTGGAGAGGAGCAGTGGGATGTGCAGAAGTACCTGCACCTGCTACAGCTCCTCCAAACCTGCCATTGCATTCCGTGGGTTTGAGTCTGCTCAGCTGTAGAGAGATCCCTGAGGCTGTTGAAAGTCGAGACTAGCTTTGCCCAGTCCTGTCTGCTATGGTTTGACTCATTTATTGTGCATGGTTCTTGTTCCGCTTGTCCAGAAATATGGTCCATTGCAGAGCCCAGCCAGCCGTTGGTCTCAGCGGAAAAAGCAAGGACTGAAGACATCAAGCAGTTTCCTCGCCCTGACACGAGGCTTGCAAAATAGTGAAAACGCAGCACCCTTAAAGAGGTCTGCAGAGCTGCTGCCTGTGCTAGGCTTGAAACCATTCTGGGAGCGAAGGGCTGTAGTCTCAGTTTCTGCCAGTGTCACTCCACCCATGAATAGGTCACTTAAAAAAATCAGAGCAATAAACAGGGGAAGAAAGGAAGCCAGCAATGGGATGGCAGCTGCTTGACATGAGACAAACTGTGGGTGACCACAGTGAACGCAGCCTGCCTTCAGCGCCATGGGTGCAGCGATCAGCGTACGTTCAGAGCCGCACTTAACACTTGACAGTCAGGGCCAGAGACTCTCCCTTGCAGCAGCTGACACACATTGTCATGGAGGAAAACGGCTGGGACCCGGGCAAAACAGAGTTACTTGGGCTCAAATGATAGACTCATTTTTAAGATTCGACCTCCCAGATAACAGGGGAAGCTGAACTGCGTGGCTGGAGCAGCAGCTGGATCAACCCCAGGAACTAAAGTTGTCTGGTCTGGTAGAAGGCCAAATAAACCTTCCACAGGCAAAAGAAAGAACGAGGTCTAACCTTCGTTTTATTCTACTTCGTTTTCCCCAGGGAAAATCTTAAAGAGATGAGGCATAGCTTAAAAACTCAAGTATTTTTAAGCTTCTTGGAGAGCTTGATAATGATGACGTAGCCTAAGGAATTTCACACGTTTGGACAGGCAATTGTTTTTTTCTTTTCTTCTTTACTTCCTTAAGCTTTCTGCAGTTTTGCTGTTCACATCTTTGGAGAAGAGACAGTAAAAGCGGTGCAGGGTTTCCCCAGTCCTAGGGTCACTGCATCAGCACCCTGGTGGGTCTCTGCCAGCACTGAGCACCTTTGACAGTCTGATCAATTGCTTCGCTAGGAAAAAAAGCCCTGGTTCCCAAACGTGTGGCTGCCAAAGGATTCAGTGGTTTCACTGAAGTTCATCTGTTAGAAAAATGGGTGGGCATCCAGCCAGACCCTGTGAAGATAGATCTGGGTGACACTCTACCTATAAACAGCTACATTTTGGTGGGGTTTATGATTGTAATTGACGATGAAGGTACCTAAGGAAACGCAGGAAAGACCCAGCTTGGCTCCTGACCTGATTTGAAGTCATGTTTAAGGTGCTGTAATCTTTCTAGTTCTTTCTGAGGTGCTGGTAAAATGGGAAGCTCTCCCGGACCACTGTATATTCACCCAGACCTCCTTCCAACTCTGCCCCTTATGTAGCTCCATGGCAGCTTAAAATTCCCCTGGATGATCTACCAGGCAGTGATCTCTCCCCTCTGTGCTGCAGGAACAGTATGTGAAGGCTGGAGTGAGGGCCGGAGGCTTATCCCCACCATTTGAAAATAATCCTCAAAGTAAAACTATTGCACTCAAGGCACATTTCTCTGGGCATTAGCAGTCTCGTTGCTGGGATGAGAAATAGTGGTGCTATTATGGGTGTTTATTATTATCCTATACAGAGCACAAGAAACAAGCAAGTGAAAAAATTGCTTAAAACAAACATGAGGGACAAAAAAAGAGGCTGCCTTGCTGTGTCCCTGTTCTGGAACTGGTTGATAAAACCGCCTAGAGTTTCTGCTTCTCACTCTCCTTCCTTCTTCACCGATCAGAAGCTCTCCCTGTCGCCCCTGTGTCCCCCCCCACCTCCGGGCAGCTTTCTGTCTGTGTGTACCTCCTGTCTCCCAGCCCAGTGGGGTGAAAACAGGTGATACCAACAGGCTGTAAGTAACGTACAACTGGGAGAGCCATGAGTGAGCAGCAGCTCACTTTTTATTTTTTAATTAATTCTCCTAGAAAATACTAAATTAGAGTACTTTCCTATACCAGAAGGTGACTGCTGTCTCTTTGGACCCCAGAAGTCACGGGAGAATCCTGGAGAAGCAAGCCTCGCCAAAAGGTCTCGTAAGGGAAGACACAAGCAATGTTCTTTCTCTTTTCCTAAATGATATCTCTTTTCCTCTAAGCAGGTGGTAAAACAGATGCTCTGGTGTGTGCTCAGCCACAGGCAGTCACAGCCCTGCATAACTGAAAAAGATGGGCAAAGCCTGCCTTGAGGAATCCCTGCCGTACCTCACTTTGCCTAAACACTGGTACGCTTTTCTAGTGTCTTGCTGTAGCTCCTCACCCATTCCCTGTCCAGCTGCTGTATTGCACCTGAATAAACACTGGAAGGGAGGAAGGGAAGGGTGAAGGGGAAGCACTCTAATTGCTCTTAATGGCTATATGTTTAGGCAATGTTTGTCTAGTACTCTGAAGATGCAAGTGTTATATTAACACTCAGTGAGTGCTGAAAATAGCATTCAAGTCCCTGAAAATGCTTTATGTTCACTCAGAGTGCAGAAACTCCACTGACGTCACTGCACGTTGTCAGTCTGGTTCAAACACTTACTTATTGCACAGTGTCTCCAGTCCGTACACACAATTCCCAGCGAAACCAGTGGAATTTCTGTCCACAGAATGAATGCAAGATACATTCAGCAATGTGGTGCTGAGCTACATCACTACCTAGAAAACATGCATAGCTATTCAGGTCTGAGTTACAGCTGTAGAATGAAAAGTCAAAGAGTAACAGTACCAGGGATTTTCATGTCGCTGTCCTTGGATCATTTCCAGACCAGATAAGCTGAACACTAAAGCACAAAGATGTGTGTGTTTGTATGTGGGGAGTTCCCCTTGTGCCAGGTCAGAGAATTCAGCCTTAGCTTTCAAATTCAAAGTTTTTCCTTTCAGCATCACTACCAGAAATAGTTGCTGTGACTCAAATTACAGCTTCACCTACAGCTTTTGAGATCTCCTTGCCTTCAGGAGGTATCCCTCACCACATCCAAGGGACCCTGTCGGTGCCAGTGCCTTTGAGGAGGTGAAACAAATCAGAACTGAGCAAACAGTTCTCAAAACAAGCAGCAGGATGTAGCGCTCTGCAACGTGGCTGCACATACTACAAAGAGGAAAAGCAGTAGAGAAGCTCCCCTGTCCCTTGTAAACGCATTGGTTTTGCAAAAACTTGGCCAAAAGCTGTATGAGGAGGGAAGTGTCATTTTTACACAGCCACTTTCAGACTAGAATTTGACCTCAAATTGCTGCAACACAACCCCAAAGACTCAACTTACCGTGAGATCGTGCCTGATAGCGAAGTTTTCTGGTTTGATGTCACACAGGTGAAGTCGGTGAGAGAAATCATTATCAAAATGCTGCACCATGTCCAGAAAGCTGAGTGCTATGTCAATGATGGCTCTCACCCTGCTTCTGTGGCCAGCAAGGGAGGGACCGACCACATTTTCCAAGGGAAAAAGAGTTTTGTGCCAGGCATGTCCAGCTGTGAGGTACTCCACAGCATAAAAGTGTCCACAAGAGCCAATAATTCGTAGCACGTGTTTGCTGAAGTCCTGCAGCAAACTGAAGTAGATATATTCTTCCTGCTGGAGCAAGGACCACATGCTGGCCACCTGTGCTTTCCAATGTGGTCCTTTCTTCCTTGTCCACAGGGGCCCCATGGTATTGTTAGACAGTTCTAGTCCCAGGACATTTTTGACCTCCAAGGCTACCATCAGCAGAAGCTCTGTTTCAGGAATATCCTGTGTTTCCACCTCCTCTAGCATACTGAGGTGCTGGTAGCTAGAGAAGATTTCCTTTTTGGATTTCAGGATGATGGGCCGGCCTCTCCAGTCAGCCTGGATGACCTTCTTACCTCTGTCATAGTAAAGGCAGTGTTTGTACACCAACTTCTGTGCCACACACAGGTCTTCACAGAGGTCGCCAGTCAGGGCTCCGCTGCTGTAGTCAAGACACTGGAGTAAAAGAGCAGAATATTCACAGCAGGACCATACACCCGTGGACCACTTAGAAGAAAGGCAAAGAATCAACAATAGTCCTAAGCTCAAGAGTCTTGCAGCAGTTGTGGTACCGCAAGCACACACCTCCTACAGCCGTTGAGTTATTCAATGGTTTTTCAGAAGTCTCTAGAGACCTTTTACTAGGGGAAATGTTGCTTCAAAATGGGGATTCTTGGGATGGTAAAGGACAGGCTTTTTTGGGGCAAGGAAATGGACTAGATGACCTGTTGCTCTTAAGTTCTTGCCACATATAAATTCAGCGAGACAAGTTTTGAACACACTGGCTGCGCTATGTGAAATTCTGGGCTGCAACACTTCAAGGCACAGGAGATGAAATAACTTCCAGCATAATTCAGGACTTCTCTGGAAGGTTCAGGGCAGCATAACTTAGACATCCCCACTTAAACTACAGGAAAATCCACGGGTAGCTGGATTGCTGGGACCTTCCGCAGTCCTGCATGTTTCAACCTTGCGCACAACATGCCCTGAATGATGCTGTAAGAACCTCCTTCTGCACTACCAGGAAACACAGAGGTTGCGCTCAATGCCTCTTGGACCAAGATCTTTCAGAATTTTTAGATATGTAAATGCTGTAGGACAAAATGACTTTTCCAGTTTTTATATTGACTTATCAGAAATGATATTCTAATATGAATTAAATACTTTTTTTTTTTTTTAAATTGGAAAAAAATCAGCCCATGGAAACATGGGAACTGCTGCTTGATAGCTAAGTGGTCACTGCAAATTCATACGAGAATTGCAAGGATTCCCTCACCAGTCCTTCCTTCAACCCATAATTGCTTCCATACCATCATTTCCAAAAGTGTAGGCAGTTGATATATTCCTGTGGGCATTCAGAAGTGCAGCTGCAGGGACTGCTTTGGGCGAATCAGTAGAGGGGATGATCAGAGGTCTCTGGTGAAAGGGGAATAGACCGTGGTGGTGTAGGGAGCCAAACATCTGGGAGGTGGCTTGACAGTGTCAGCCTTCTTCATTGCTTTCTGGCATTTGAACCTGCATTTAAACAAGTTGGCAGCTCCTACTGCATGTGGAGTACTTGCAGTGGCTGCCTGACCCCACCTCATTTGTGACTTGCTGTTACATACACAAGAAACATGATCATAAAATTCAAGTGGTGTATTTTCTTAGGACAGTCTCTGAGGTGTGCACCAGAGGAATACATTCTGATGCCAGGCAACATTCAGAGTTCAACCTTAAACAACACACTGGGGAATGGGTGGAGGATTAAATCCAAAATCCAGGAATGGTGATAAATTGACTAAAACAGCTCACTGAGGGCAGTTCAGACAGGCATAAAATTTATTTATACTCAGATGTTCTCACAGCCCAAATGAGAACATTCGATGCCAGCAAGGAGAGACAGGTAGGCAAACTCTAGGATGAATGTCCTGACCCTGAGTCCAGGGTGATGTACATGTGTGGAACACACACATCTGCATCCACATTCACATCAGGATGGTCAAGCAGACTCACTGGGCTGTCCACAGACTTCAGAGCATGCAGATCAATGTTTTTGCTTTTGAAAATCCACTCCTATGAATGTAGTACAAATTTATTTTCCCTTTTTAAGTAGGAAATGTAATTTTCTCAACAGAAGTAGTTTAGCAGTTCTTACCATCTGGAACTCTAAGCAATTTTAGAAAGAAGATTACAAACAGAAGGAATTTTGGGGGGTTTCTTTGGAGCATAAGTATAATCACATTTAAAATCATTGCTCTCCTATTGAGAAGACCACAACCTAACTCTTCTTCTGCTACAGTAAGAGAATATAGGATTTAGTCTTGTAATTGGGCCCACACGGGTGAACACTTGCCCCTGTGGACAATTTTACTGTGGTCCATCAAGTTCACTCTTAGAGGGTCCGTATGCATGGACCTCTTGCATCTAGAAGAACACATGCCCAGAAGACCTGCAGTCAAACATGTGAACACGCAGCTTATTTTCTTGTGCTGCCATCACATCATTCTTAATGGCATTAATGAGAAAAAGTAGTTGTGGAAAAAATAGTCTCACTTACATTTCCCAGACATAGGAGATGAGTCATTTTTGAACCTGGCTGCTGTTTTGGGCTTGTCCGCTGTTCCAGTTGAACCCATAAATATTTGATTATTAACCTAGTATCTGACAAACAGTCTCTGAATCTGATTCTTCTTACACTGAACTTGTGCAGTGTTTTGCAAATGAGGATCTGTGAAACAGGACTTGACCAAGGAGTTCCTGGTCTCACAGTGATGAAACACAGATCTACCTCCCAGAAGTAACGTTCTCTGCTGGTCACCAATGCGAGCAAGAATTTCAGAAACGCTTCCTCAAATAAGCAATCAAGAAGTTTGAACAATTTTCAAGGCGTCTCTCTCTACTCACAGAATGTAGTGAGTTGTGGGTCACTCAATGGCTTTAAAAACCTCCTCAGTTTCCTGTTCATTGTAACCTAGAAGGTCAGCGAAGACTGACTGCACCTTCACGTCCTCGCTACTCCCCCTTCCCCCCGTTATTCCAACTTTTAGTGTTTTATGTTTTGCCATAAGCATAACACACTAAGTAAGCTTAGCTCCCCAGCCCTCCCACTATAATCCTTATTTTTTCAGCCCCTGGATGATTTTTGTGGTTTTATTCCCTCCCTGTTTCTTCTCTCCATTTTTCTCTCTGCCAACCTTAGAAGCACAGACATCAGAACTGAATGCTGTTGTCCAGTGCTGCAAAGACAGCCAACAGCCCTTCCCTAATTCTCCTTTTTGGAGACATTCAAGAGATCGTAGCAGCCTTTTAGGCACAGACTGCACTGGTAGTTCATGCTGAAGCAAATATTTGACCCCTACGTCCTTTCCAAAGTCATACAGTTTTACAAGACAGTCTTCCATCCTACTGGCATAGCTTGTACTCTTGTGCTCCCCAATGTACTAGCTTGCATTTTACTGTATTAAAACACATTTTGGTGGACTGAAAACATTTAACCAGGTGATTCAGATTACCCTGCAATGAAAAGATGGTCTGTTTATTATTTATCAACCCAGGAACCTTTGCACTAACTGCAAACTTAACCATACAAGACTTTTATCATCACGATGACTGCTGATAAAAAGAAGAATCAATTCCCCAAAGAAAACTTCCAGAAATGGTCCTCCACACTGCCATCCCCGTCTTAATGACTGCATTTTAGATCTGTTGATAAGACAGTTTTAAATCTACCTAATGAGTGCCCTTTGAATGCCACTAAGTGCCAGATTTTTTAAACTAAAATATGGAAGTGATACTAAGCCAAAAGCCTTATAGAAAAGCAGCTATACTACACAAAAATGCCAACACAAGCATGGTTTGGACTCGCTCGTCTGTTTCTGTTTAAAATTGGCTACATAATTTTTAATATCCTTAGTACGCTTATCAAGATAAGTTAAAAAAGCTGGGTTTAAATTCATGTAAAAGTTTAAATTAATGTAAACCCCACTAAGGATTTATATAAATTTAAATAACTTACTGTACCACCATCACTTGTATAGATCAGGCCTGGGACTGAGTCCTGCCTTGTTATCAAGTACTTCTATGTAAATGCAACACTGAGCAAGGTTTTGGAAGGCATCAAAAGCAATTAATTTCTCCAGAGAAAACAGAAATTGATCGCTATGATTTAGTGTGTTCAGTGTCAATGAAGGTGAGACTGATGTTAGGAAAGAGTAAGTGGTCTTTTGGAGACTTAAAGTTGGTCTCTGCAAAACACCCAGTGCTACTTCAGCCTTCCCAGTGCAGTACACATCTGCACAGATGTACATTTTACCCAGAAGAAGGAAATAAACCTTCAGAAATACCACTTGCAAGGGTATACAACCATGCAATTTTCACCCACTTGCTTAAAATACCTCATCTTATCTCCAACTGAAAATACAACAGATGACTAGTAAAATAGTTTTTCTTGGAAGTCAGATTTTGCTTAATAAAAGGCGTGAGACTCAAGCTATCAGACTGTTTCGTAGATCACTTGCACTTTCTATAACCGTGAAACTCATGCCGTTTTCAGAAGATGTATAAAGACTTATTTCGGGGCTGATGAAGATGAGCTCATTTTCCAATTGTTCCACTAGAAGGACGATCCCTTTCTAACGTCACCTGGGAAAACTGTCGCTTACAAACCTTAATGATACTATTGAAGACTCACCTACAGAAACGGATGAGCACAGCAATCTCAGCTACTCTTCCTCTGGAAGGAGGGTCTGAAACTGAGCTATCGCACAGTGATAGAGACAACTTCCAAGCTTGCGCCTGAAATCTGATCCCTGCCTGGGCTTTTGAAGTCATGCCTGGCGCTCTCCAAACTGAAGAACAGCAACAAGTCTCTGTCCATCTGTTTACTGGCAGGGGTGATGGCAAGGGCCTGGACCTTCCTGAGCTTGGCGGCTCCTTGCAGCTCCACGCCTCTGTGCTCTTCCCAACCACGTAAGGAGCGGGCAGGATTCATTCCTTCAGCTGCAATCCCGAGCTCAGCTGTACTTCAACCTGACTGCTGGGGTAAAGAAACTGAATCGCGCTGCCATTAAAAACACGCCGTCAGGACCGCTGCCTATAGTTTCTCTTCCTTTATTATACAGAATTTAGGGAAACTCTATGATCAGTTTTTGCTTGCTGTAGTAATAGATTATTTAATTTCCATTAGGATTCCTCCCTTCCTACCTAACCATTGGCACTACAAATACCTTAATTAAGAAACAAAATTAAACTCAGAGCATTAACCCACGCTGCTCCTCGTCTCGCAGTGTTTCCTACACAATTCTAAATCTGTTTCTTTTTCTTTTTCTTTTTTTTTTAATGAATATGCGCAAATCCTTTCTTGAATTTTTAATAACTGCATCTTACGTGCCAGCCCCTGCCAGACGCAGAGGAGGCGTTACAAGCTGCGTGGCATTTCTGAAAGACGACTTTCGTACCAACACCTTTTCGGCTAAACAAAAAAAAAAGACC